AAGACTGAGAACACTGACCATCGGCTGTTCCCGCAATGGAACCAGCCGATGGTCTGTGTTTTCATTCTTTCAGGCTTCATTGTATTCTTCATCGTATAGGCCAAATCGCATTCAAATGTCAACACGAATCAGAATGGAAGTGGAACGCATGGCGCATCCCAAAAAGAGGCTGATCGCCGTCGAATGTTCTACCCTTTATCGTCTACCAGTATATTCCTGGATTGCAATTTGTAAACAAGAGTGAAATCTATGTAGAAAGTGACAACTGAAGGTACAACTAATCAAGTGCGTAATTCTTGTGTGAGGTCGGAATGCGTTCACTCTTGACTTTCTAACTTTTCTGTTGCGGTTGAATTTTAGTACGAGACTCGTCTTAGATGAAGGTGCTTCACTACTTTGAAAGTCGCTCTACAAGGATCAGGTACGCGTCTAAAATCGTCTATAAATGAAATGGAACGCATGGCGCATCCTATGAGGATTGGCTCAAACACATTTCTTTCGATAAGGCAGCTCAGGCTTTATTGCGAATATAAATTTCAGAACATAAGATAATATAGAACAAAGGGTTCATCACCCTATCTGTTTCGGATGCGCCACGCATTCGGGTCCTATCCAAAATAATGAAGATATTTGTAAGTCTATGAAAGCGTATGAAGTGAGCTACGAGATCGATCGGCATTCAAGAAGGGGTTTTACCTTGGCATGCAAATCTGCTACAAAACGACTAAAAATTATGGTATGCACGGTTTCGTGGGGTATACAGGATCGGATCTCCAAAGTTTGATGCAGGGCCTTTTAGCTCCTGTGCTACTCCATCCCATGGACAAGACCTAGCAAGTTCGTTAATGAACACCAAGGGGTTCAATATTCATCGATCATGCAATTGCTGACGCCCATTAACCATAAGTGCGACCCACCTGATCGCGAGCGAATCTTTCGAGAACGAGCTCCTGTGCCGATTCGGGAAAGATGCGACCGTGACGGCTTAAGAGCATATCGCGGATATGAAAACGGATGACAGTCATCACAAAAGGGGAATTTTCCAGTGGGCCAATCGATAATTCTCAATGTCCTTTGATGAACATCAGATCAAGTACATACTGGTAGGCAGCTACTCAAATATTCGGCCCCGGTGAGCAACCGAAAAAGCGCTCAAATCAACAGATACCAGGAAGTGTCAGGAAGGAAATCGAGCCCATATGGTTGAGCACAACAGGAATATCGCCTATAAATCACTAAAGCCAATCGATCCTTTCCAATGAAGAATGAAAACGTGAAGTATTCGCTGTTGATCCCCTTCCGGGATGAGCCATGTGTTCCACTTCTTTCGGAAACTTAGAAGCATTGGGAATACGTCATAGTCTGTACAAGGGTTTGCGGGGGCCAGTCGATAACCACATAGTTTCTTTAGTCTCCCAGACAAGTCTGGTCTCAAAAAGGGCAGAACGGTATAGTGACAATCGCTACTATTACCAGTCTCTACCGGTCCTGTGATCAAGTCCCTAATAGCATTAAGATTACCCAACCGGAAAACGTGCATCTTAACGACTTCAGGTATGCTCTATCCTTACAACACCAACCATATATGATTCTTTTCAACGCATCGGGAGGTCCCTCCAAATTGATTCCGTAATAACAACCCTCTTAATGCAACACTCATAGCTAGTACTGCTATCGATATTTCAATGAGGTTTCACAAAATACAGAGGAACAATCGAAACTACTGCATGCTCACAACTGTCTTTTCAAAAATCGCCTCAGGATTGTTAACTGCTACCATGCTTCTCAAATAATTGACAAATCCATCCGTACTCCTCTAATATTCCTTATCTGATTTCCAATTCTCCATTAGACACTGCCTCGAAAGTTCGCTGACCCAATTACCCAAGCAGATAGACTCAATGGAAAGCGGCTTACTGTACATCATTATCAAAGAGCATAGGTCAGCTATGATACCTAGATTTGCATATCACTCCCGCCATTACAGCTTAACTTGAAAATGATTGATCTCTCCATCGGATAGAATTTGGGCGAGTCAAACGTTCTGAGAACTACTATAGGTTGCTCCGCATAATAATCCTACTTACTATAAAGCGCTTCGTCTGTCGTGTGTCGTGTGTCGTGTGTCGTGTCGTCGTCTGTGTCGTGTGTCGTTCTGTATGTCTGTCACGAAATTCCCTAGCTCCTCGGGATCCACCTGGAGGGACCGGGTCAAGTGTGGGATGGGTGGGCAGGGTCTCACGTAATACAAAACACACATCAGCTAAGCGGAGCCCCGCCCACAGAGGGCGTGGCGTGCGTCGAAATGAATTGTACCGAAGACCAAGATTTCGATTTCAGTGACAAAACGACCTCGAAACTGGGCCAAAAAGTGGGTTAAGGTGTGCATTGGTAAGTCACATCGAATTAGGGAGACCCACCCCCGGTGGGCGGGGCGTTCTCTAAAAAAGCAGTGCTTTATGAAAAATTTCATAACTCGGTTGGGAGAAAGCCTACAGAGCAGAAAACAATTCGGTGTAAGGGAGCAATGTCTAAGGTGTTTCCCGCATACATGACGTGGGCGGAGGCCTGCCCAGAATGGGCGGGGCGCGCTCTGAAGTGTACAGCATTTTCTACAAGCCCTCATAATTCGGGTCGGGGAAGTCCTTAAAGAGCCGGAAAAAGGTGGATAGAGGTGTATGGAGGAGTGGAGGCCAGCTGTCAATGGTGGGCGGGGCTTGACCAAAGTGGGCGGAGTTTGCGACGAAAATTCATAACTCGGCTCCAAGAAGTCCCGGAGGCCGGGAAAAAGGTGGACGGAGGTGGGTGGAGGAGTGGAGGTCAGCTGTCATCGGGGGCCGGCTTGACCAAAGTGGGCGGAGTTTGCGACGAAAATTCATAACTCGGCTCCATAACCCGAGCTGGGAAAAGGTGGATAAAGTGTGATATGAGTACTGTCATCGTGGGCGGCTTGGCTCAAAATTGGCGAGTTTCGACGGAAATTCATAACTCGGCTCCCATAAGCTCCGCTAGGCTGGGAACCCATGGATAGAGATGGGTGGAGATGAGGTCTATCTGTCATCGTGGCGGGGCTTGCCAACTGGCGAGTCCTGGGGACGGAAATCATAGCTTGGATCCAAGAAGTCCCGGAGGCACGGAAAAAGGTGGGTAGATGGGTGGAAGGAGTGGAACTTCAAATACCATTAGTGGGCGGAGCATGGCCAAAGTGGGCGGAGTTACCCAGGAAAATTCATAACTTGGTTCCAAGAAGTCCTGGAGAACGGGAAAAAAGTGGATATAGGTCAGCAAAGAAAGAGAAGTTAACTGCTACGGTTGGGTGGAGCGTGCGCTAATATGGGCGGAGTTTGCGCCGAAATTGTAATTCGGCTCCAAGAAGTCCCGGAGGCAGGGAAAAAGGTGGATGGAGGTGGGTGGAGGAGTGGAGCCCAGCTATCACCGGTGAGCGGGGCTTGACCAAAGTGGGCGGAGTTTGCGACGAAAATTCATAACTCGGCTCCAAGAAGTCCTAGAGATAGGGAAAACGGGGTTAGAGGTTGGCGAGGGAAAAGAGATCAGCTGCTTCCAAGAGGTCCCAGAGACCGGTGAAAAAAGGGGTAGAGGTCGGCGAAAGGAAGGGGGCCAAATGCTATTGGTGGGCGGAGCACGCACCGAAGTAGGCGGAGTTTGCCACGAGATTTATTGTCCGGAAGCAGTCCGGAGACCGGGAAAAGAGAATAATGGTTGACGAAGAAAAAGAGGTTGAAAGCCGTCGATGATGGAGCGGATAGAATTTAGCTGAGAATTCAGATATTCGTGGTGTATCAAGCCAAATTTGAAAATTTTCGTCGCACCATCAAAATTCGCCGCAGATCTGTGTTGCGCGCGCAATGCGTGCGGCGCCAACTGTTAATGTATAAATTTATAAAGAGCTAACTTTGTGTGTCGGTTT